GTTCTTCCTTCTGTTGGTGAATTAAGTTGATGCATCACACGTAGTAATTGCCTCAGTTTTTCTTACATTTGTGTCATTGCACTCTTCAATTCGACAAGCTCTGCCATGGTAACACCTAGAAAAAAAATATCTAATATTACTCAAGACAAGTAAGAGAACGGACTTGAGAACAAAGAAAATACTAAAAACAATATCAGTTTAAAAGAGTAATTCGTAACTCTTAATACGCTTATGTCTTATCAAGAAAAAAGAGTAATCTACTCTTAATCAAAAAAAGATAAAGCTCTGATATTATAAGTGTACTCTTGTCAATCTATCAATGACAAGAACTCAATGAAAAAGTAATTCAAACAAGTGAGCCTTCACTCAAAAAAAGGTAAAAAAATATAAATAAAAAAGTATGTATATTGAAAGAAAAACTAGAATGGCTATTGCCAAAGATTAGAAAACATGAAGATTCTTGAAACTAGACTGGAAACAAGAAAGTAGTTGACAAGAGTGAAGAAGACTTCACTCTTATCTCTATATATATTATCTAACTAGGGGCTATGTCGCGACGTTCTATAGGACCTCCAATATGTGTTGACTTTATAGGACACATGCCTTGACTTACAAGGCAAGTTTTTCTAAGTGTGGGCCACATTTTTAGCTTGGTCTTCAAGCTAATAACATGTGTGGTACATGGCCAACTTGTTGACCACGTTTCTAATCCAAAAAGTCAATTAAAGATACCTATAAAGTCAAAGTAGCATCTATGAAGCTTCTAAGAAGCTTCTATACCAAATACTATAGAATTAACTTACTTTTATCTACTTTTATTTACTTCTACTTATTTATATATGTAATTATTGGCTTACAAGAGTATGTTTGTGACATTATGTCCATCATTTTGTGATTGCGTTTCTTTTTTATATAATATTGAGTAATGTGCTTAGCTTCTCTACAATATAAGTACAAATCTTCTTGACAATGTTGAGTCTTTTCCTGCTCATTGAGGAATTTAAAACATATTCTATCAATTTATATTTGATTTTGTCTTAATAAATAAGTTTCTAAAAACTTGAGAGCTGTCATCATTGCTTGGCTTATTCCTCTCTAGTCAAGTCTTTATTCTTAAATCCTTTCAAATAATCGATTGTTGCATGCAATGGCTCCAACAATAAATTATTTCACAGATTCTACTTTTGGCATTATCAATAATAAATCTTTGAGATTATCCTTCAATCCATATTAAAATTGATTAATGGAGGCTTTGTCATTTCAATCTACATCCTAAGTAAGGTTTTTGAATTCAATAGCATACATGGTAGCTAATTATGATCTATATTGTAAAGATAAGAGTTTGATCTTTGCAATTCTTTCTTAATCACTTTCTCTAAATGTGATTGTAAATACTACTAAGAATGAATTCAAATCATAAAAGAGTCATGAATCTTTTTTTATCAAAGGTATAAACGAAGAAAGAACACTTCTAAATACAAGTGCCCTTATGAACCCAACTTGAGTAAATCCATTAGGGTATTAGAAGAGATGCAATCTTAAATAGAGCTTGACTTATTACAAAAAATCTCAAAATTTTGATCTTGTTCCATCAAACTTCTTGGGCATACTAATCCTTGTCCTTATCATACTTATACAAAGAAAACTTCTTGGATTTAGTTGTGAGGTTGATTTATTTTCTTCCTTCAATTATATAATTTTTTGACATAAATTCAAAACTTCTTCTATAAGCAAAGGATTAGTATTTCCATAATTAGTACTCGTGATGCATGAAATTTCTATCCTAAGAATATTGACAAGTTCTTGAAGATCAATAATAGTTACAAAACTATTCTTTCTTCCACCAAGTGTAACATCCATGATCTTTTCTTTCCTTTCAAAGAACTTAACAAATCCACAAGTCAAATTAGATGAAGATAATCTACAACCTCTAATATCAAATAAAAATTTATACAAAGAAGGATAATCCACTCTTTTTAAGGAAGATATGAATATTAGAAAATTAAACAATTTGTTTAAAGATGGATAGTTTGCAACCTTCAAAATATAATAATAAAAGAAAGATAATCCACTCACGTTTAAAACAAGACAAGAAAAATGAATTAGCACTCTTGTCAAATTATGAAGGACATGAAGCTCAAACAAAGAAATCTGCAATACACTCTTGAGTCACTCAAAAGAAATAAAAAATTACTCAAAGATGGTATAATATTAAACTAAAATGGCTATTAGCAAAAATAAAAAGACTAAAAAGTCTTAAAATAAGAATAAGGACTAAAAATACATTGACAAGAATAAAGAAGGCTTCACTTTTGCCTCCATATATACTCTTAACTAGGAACTATGTGGCGATGTCTCATACAATTTCTAAAATATATTGATTTTATAAGACACAAATCTTAACTTATAAGGTAAGTTTTTTATATATGCGCCACATAGTTAACTTATTCTGTAAGCTATTAACACGTGGTTAACTTGTTGATTAAGTTTCTAACCTACCAATCAACTACAAAGACATATGAAGTCTAAGCAACATCTATGAAGTTTCTAAGAAGCTTTTCTAAAAAATAGTATGAAATAATTTTACTTTTATTTACTTCTATTTAATCATATAGATAAATATTAAAATAAATATGTATGTCAATGATACTTAGTCATTTTTCTTAATTGTAGTAATAAGACAAAAAAATAAGATTTTAAAGATAATATTATATTTATTGTTTTAATATGTTATTTCTTATTTTTTATTATTGACATGTTAGATAAGTATTCTATTAAGACAAAAGTGATGTTCAACTAATATATGATATATAACATTCAACTTCATTCTAGCTTATTATATATAGTGATTGCCAAAATTGAGTATGAAATCAACTTGATTAAATTCAACAAATAATGTAAGTAAATTGGATACAACAAAAATAAAACTATAAATTACATAAAATTATCATTATAGTAAATCATACTTCCATAATAATTAAAGTTTATTATACACAAGTATATATATATATATATATATAAAAAAAATTAAAATGAAGTTAGGTCTAAAACTTAGTTTTGCTCACACGAGTTGAAAAATTTGTCCATTTTCTTTTAGTAGCTATTATAGCTCTAATACACTTATACATGCTTCTATATAAGTTCTTACACTCATTGGGAGTAATTAAAGCATAATAATCTTCAATATGCTCTCATAATTCTAACATTTCTTTGAAAGATGTTTCACATTGCTTCAATTGGCGTTTTAAAGTTATCCATAAGTATTTGGTTGGATTTAAGTCAAGAGATTGTGCTAGCCATTTCAAAAGAGTAAATTCTTGCAAACTGAGCCAATGACATACACTCTTGGACATATGCTTGGGATCATTATCATGTTGAAAAATCAAACTTATAAGATTTAAATTGTATGCATGCACCATATAAATCAATTCTTGCTCCAAGTTCTCTTTATACATGTATTGATTTATACTTCCCTGAATCCTATACAGCATATCAGGGCTATTTGGAATCATATAACCTTACATCATCACTTCCTTACCTCCAAACTTAATTGTTTTTTGCACCATTTTAACACTTGTTCTATGTCTATCACAAAACCAACACCAACTACAAGTATTGGAATAAAAGCAATTTAATTTTGTTTCATTGAAGAATATTACACAATCCCAATCATCATCAATCCAATGACAATAATGTTTAGCGAATTCTAATCTTGCCTTAATTTCATAAAGTATGAGTTTTGGTTTCTTCTACTTTATTTTGTATTTCAAACCTACTTCACATAACATTCTCTTCACAATACTATCACTCGTACCAACATGAAGCTCATCTCTCAAGTAATTTCAAACTTTATGTGTAGTTTCCTTGCCACCTCTAGTAATTTCTCATACACAAGCCCTTCAATCATTTGCATTCTATATCTTTGACCTACCGCTGAAACTATGATTTACATCACTCAAATCAATCATATGTTGCTTACAAAACTATGCAATCCAACTTTGAGACAATTATAAGTCTCTAGCAATATTCCTAGTATTCTCACCCCTCCTCAACTTTTGCAAAGTTTCCACTTCTATTAACTTCCTATCAATAACTAAGAGATACCTTAATGAAACCATTTTGCTCAGTTTGCATAGGTGATGTATATTGATGATGGACACAATTATATATATGAAGACCAAGAATATGTCTATGCTCTCAATCACACTCAAAAAACCACTTGTGTATGTTAGATTTGTAGCTTAGATTGTATCATGTCATTGTAATCAAAGTGTGAGCATAACTGAGTTTTAGAGGCAATTCATTTTGGTCCACATATTTCTCAATCTATCTTGCATTGATGGACTTGTAATTTGGTAGCCACATCAATTACTTAAAATAGAACTTAAATCACCTACTAATTTGGCTATTATTGCAGAAAATTACAAAGTATAAATAGCTAATGGTAGAATAACTAATTTCATACTCAATTTTGGCAATCATTGTATGTACAATGTACTCTATGTATTCAAATCATGTCTAACTTTGATGAGTTGACTAAAGATGAAATTTTTGTAAAACATAAAAATTATTTCTTGACATCTAAGATATCAACCATGCCAAGCCTAACTACATCTTTTTTTTTCTTTGTTTTGTTTCTTTTAAGTATTTGTTAATTTATACTTATGTACATAAAAACTCATCATAGAGTGCTAGAAAAGACCATAGACAGCAATGACCCAATATAACAATAGAGCAAGTCATTTTACGCAGATTGGAAAGTAAGAAGCTTCATTAGATCCTGTTTGAGCATGTAAGCAAAAAAATACTAAAGATTTTAACCATGATAGTACAAAAACATGCTCTCATCACGCATTTAAATTCATTTCAAAGGAAACATCAATGGCTGACCCCAATGACCTGGATCGACTACAAAGAGTTGATATTCAATGAAGTAACCAGTAAGGGGCATTGTACCTACTTTGGGTGTCCTCACAGCTTACCTTAGAAATATAACTGTATCTTTCAGATAGATTATAAGACTTTAGTGGTTAATGCATAAATTTAAATTGTCTTGATTACAATGGAAAAGGTTCAATGACCCGCACATGCTTTCTGATTGACCAAAGAACTCAGAACCACTAATTGTTCCCATGAATCCCCTGTATCTCAATGCATTGTACATAATACAATCGACTAACTTAGTCTGAAGAATCTCCCGATAACGTAGCGTTAGCTGCTTTAATTTCACCAACCCAATAAGTCTTCACACAAACCAAAATCTTCTCTCTGATGAATGGACCCTCTTCATGATCTGCCAACCGGCACTCCCAACGCATACCTTGGGTGATGATCATAACCTTGTTGACAACGTCAACTTCATCACGTATCAAAACTGCCCCCTCAGGTCGCAGGATTCGGTCCATCTCCAAAAGCACGTATGTAATATCACACCTGCAAAGGTACGAGTTCCACAATCAACTGACACTACAGCATCTAGTTTTGCAATATATCTGAGACGCGATCAGTATGAGAATCAATGAAGTAACCGAATCATTAATGTGATATTCAGGTCACAAACCACAGAAAACATTAACCTTAACATACCTGTCTTGGTACATGCTGAACACGTTATCTGCATGAATTAGGTCATAAGTTCGTGGGTACGTAGAGAATGCCTCACACCTGATAAAGATTCAACAAAGCTCGTCGGTTAAGTGTCTATGGTACCAAATACAGAGTGTACATTAAGCCCTCTATGTACCCTTTTAAAGTACATTAAAAGGACGCGCTGTAATCAACTGAACTTTCAAAAGAGCACTTCTAAACTACGTCAAGCTATGTGGATATAGTTAAGACAAGAAAACGTGCATCTGATGGATAACAAAAGAAAATACCAATTCTGGTAAGTCCCAATAAATCCACGCTCGAAAATTACACCCAATGTGTCAGTTTTAGCTTCCGGGGGCATGGCGTTCATAACCCATACAGGGTCTTTGACAAGAGCTGCAGCAAAGCCTCCAAGACCTGCATTCATGTCCATAATGTTCCTGTATCTACCATTGGTAAGTGGTGGAATCAAATGATTTTTGTAGTATTTGACTCGCTTCTCCCACAATTCTGCGTCTTCTTTGAATTCCTGAGCTGTCATAAGCGGAACACTTCCGCTAGCGATCCTTGGAGGGATAGTGTTCACACGTGCAGGAAATTTAGCTAATTCGCCGCCAGCAACTTCGTTTTTACTTTTCACATCAGGAAGTGGAGTAATACACGCTTCAAGCTTGCGATACCTGCGCAAGGAGAGAACTGAATTTCACCAACTGTATACATTTCAGGGCTGTTAGGATGAAATCCTTGCTATTTAGCTGTGCTCGAATCGCATGATAACTATAACGAGGAACCAAAAAAGAAAAAAATTAACGAACGAACAAACGAACAAACAGCTATGTGGCCTCTAACCACGTCAACGACACGTAGAAAGTAAAGTTGAACGCACCAAGCATGATCAGGATGCTCCAATTTACTGCACATACGAGGGGACACAGTGGGATTCTTCTTGTGAAAAGCTGCACACTCCATGTGGTTGAGAGGCTTCTGCCAGATTGCCAGATTGTCCTTCTCTACCACCTTCTTCCAGCACAGCCGACGGGCACCATCCTCAATTGTGTCCTGCTCAGCCTTCAAATCTTCTTGCGTCCGCTCCCAACCCTTGTAGTGTTTCTTCCAGTTGATAGGAGGACCAGACAGAATCCAATATCCGCCAGGCCTTAGCACGCGGTCCACCTCAATTAGGTACATGTTGTCTGCATGCACATCGTGGCAAGATTGAGACTCCAAAAATGTATGATGCTAAAATTCTGTGTCGAGATGTCATGACTGTACACACCTTCACTACAGCAGAAATGGATGAAGACATGCTATGAATGACAGCATAGGACACACTTCCTGCACTACACAAAAGAACGACATACTTCTCGTCAGAAAACACGGGAAGATGTTGCCCAACCAAATGCGATTGTTTCGCAATCGGCAGATGTCGCAGTTGCTTACCCGTCGCACCCCAAGGAATGAGACAGCGTGAGCAATGTGCCATATCAAACGATCGGGCGGGGTAAGGTAGTCGAATCGTGGCCATAATCCCAAGAATGGCAGGTACTCCTCTCTCAAGGGCAAATTGAATTTGAGATATATGGGTGTCTCTCGGTGCAAATGACATGGCCAGAATGTTTTTCTTCAACAAGTAGGCTCCCCAACTCGCCACCTGATACAGAGAGGAATGAGTATTCTATGGCGTTTCCTAGAATGAAAGTACAAAGTTTGTCATCAGAAACTCGGAAGATGAGTATGTCAATTATTAGAAAGTGAAGAGCAGAGAAGGAACGTACTCCGCAACCAGTGTCAAGGGCAGTTCGGATAGATCCATCGTCCAACGGAATGAGATCGGCAATATCGGCAATATACTTGTCTGCACCACCAGCCGAAAAAGTACCACCGCCAGGGAAGTAGAGCTTCTCACCTCGGTATTGCACCCATTTCTGAATGGCCTTCTCAACTGTAAGCTCTTTGTGAGGGGTATTGGCATACCATGCATAGTCCCGGCTCTTAGGCCAGGGGAAGGGATTCTTATACCCTGGAGGAGCTGGCACGAGGCATCTCAGAAGCTCGTCCTTCTCTGGACAATGGCGCTCACGGTACTCCAGCTTCTCTCTGGGAAACTTGAGCGCACGCTGTGGGTCCTCACAAGGGGTAACCTCGCTGTACTTCATGTCGCAAGGGGAAAATTGTTCGATTTTGGAGCCATCGTTGGTCGTGCTTGCCAATCCATGATGGGCCCCAAAGTCAAGAGCAGTGGTAACGGAGCCACAAGCTTTTGCATTAGTAGCCTTGTCACTCAACGCCGCGGTACCGCCATTTTGCCATGAGCCTAGAGTGTAAAAGAAACAGCAGAGTCCAACTACAACCAACAACCAAGTTATACGACGTCTCCTTGCGTGGTCGAAGTTAACAAGCTTTGGAGAGCCAGGCTTTCCCATTTTGAAATCTGTCACAAGAGCAAGAGAGGGTAGCTCTAAGTATCTTGACACATTTGAGGCAGTGAGCAATAGCGACGACTGAGGCTGCTGGAAACGAACCCCAAGCCCACAGAAAGAGAGACTCAATATCGCATCACTTACGAGATTTGTCCAGATTCAGCACACCCAATTCAAACCATTTCTCTCCCAAAACCTGCCAGAAGTTACTGCTTTCGCCCCAAACACTAGATTGTAACGACTCATTAAACCATCAAAGCTCCTTCGACGCACCGCCCCCCGCCAAAAAAAAGGGTACTCAGCCTGAGTTTCGAAAATATTTCGAAAAAACCAAATGATCACTAAATACGTGAACTCCTAACCTCTTTATTTTCAATGTCAAAGATATTAGAATCTCTTAGCTAGAAAGCATTCTACATTTTTCCGAGCCTCTCCATTCAACTTCCTCTAGACTTCTGTATCCTTAATGTGCTTACATATTATTTGTGGAGGCATCACAACAAGCTTTCATAATAATGACTACGAAGAAATCCAGAATTGAAATAAATGAACCGACCGAACGGTAATGGTGCGCAAATTCTGCACCCAAAAACATCAATTTGGGAGCAGAAAAGCAAAATCCGCACATCGTTACAACTATGTGGACATGATAGGTCAATGAGATCGCTGCATAAGATCACACAGTTACTCGAGCACTGTCTAGACCAAAATGCAGTGACGCCGAAAGAGCTAGATAGTAGCTAAGTACTCACAATTTTTTTAATATTACATACTGTCCATAAGATACTCCCAGGAATGTTGTAGGCTTCTTATCACACGTGCATGAAACCAAGAGGCTCATTTGTCAGTTAGTTTCACAATACGGGACGATCAGGGATCTTGATTCTAAGCTAACTAGAAAACGCTCATCTTAAAGCTTAGCCATAAAACAATAATAATAATAATAATAATAATAATAATAACAGAGAAAAACAGGAAAAAATAAAACAAAACAAAACAAGAAGCATAAAATGAATGGGTGATACAAGGCAATCAAGGTTACCAATCTCCCTTAAAATGATTTAGTCCTGTCAATGCGACAGGATAATGGTCCAAACACACCCACAAGGCGAAGGGACCTATTCAAGGAATGAATGGCCATTGACGAACTAAATTGTATCTGAAACTTGTCGACAAATCAAACATAGAACAGCAACGCTTCTAACTGGAAAAATCAAATGTCTCACAACACATCACACAAACTCAAACCACACTGCCAGTACACTGCTTACTTGGTCGATTCTAAGTCATGGTTAGCCACGTAAACATCAATTTCCTGTTTCGAAATGCCAAATGAAACGAACATATCGAAACGTTTCAAAACGTAACAAAAAAAGGATGTTTCGTTGCAACTAAGCTGGCATCTAAATATGACTTAGAGCAGAGCCTCTCTTCTAAGAAAGAAAACGATTGCGACAACAGAAACCATCACTCTTGCAAGTTCCTAAATATTACTCGAGTTTGCAGTCATACGAAAAAGGCCCCAATCAAAAACAGGCGCATGTAGTCTGCCCCGAGCAACTTCTCAACGTCTTCCGCAGACGTCAAACGAGCCGCAACAAGAGCTGCTCTTCAACTTTTAAAAAGTCAAACAAAAGCTTCGACACAAACTCACGCTCCTTTGAAGTAGCCCACGTTAGAAACTACTAAATGTACACATACTCTGTCATATCCTTGCTGCGCACAGCATAAGAAAGCACAACGTTGCTTCTGCAATGAACATACAAAATAACGACATACAAGAGTAGACGATCAGAAATACCAGGGGAGAAATGTTGCGAAAAACTCGAAAGTTGAGAAGGACTTGACAGTCCTAAGAAACAGATACACAAAAGAATCGTAAGATATCGTTGCGAGTACCTACAGATTTAAGAGTTTCGATATGTGCGAAGATGGTAAGATTCTCGGTACAATAATGGATCTCACTGTTTTGGTTTTTACACATGATTACAGGAAACAAGGATATAATCTTCGATTCAACAGAAATGAAAACTCGAACAGTGCTTCTTCGCCACAGATCAAAATTACCTCCACCATGCGCTAGGAAACAGTGCAATCTAGTTACTGAGGTACTGAGCTGCGATCATTAGTCTGCAAGTGCGCATTGACCATCGTGGACTCCTCATTTACTCTACAACAGGTTTCAGCTTGTGTACACTCATCGATACTACCGGTGACTAGCATTCAACCAATCACAACTAGGACTCACGACGCCACTGCGAATATTTGAGAATACGGATTTGATTCAACCCTAAGCATCCAATAACTCCACTGCTTTCCCACAAATTTCTAGCATCCCAAATCACTGCTTCCGTCAACGTTCCGCATATCCAACCCAAAACAAAAAACAAATTTAAAACATTACACATGAAACAAAAACGGAACCGATTGGACAGAATCGCACACAACGCAAAGATGAAAGGAAAGTTAGTACAAGCGGAGCAGTCCAGATACCCAAAACCCAAAACCCAAAATCACTCACCGTGAGGATGTGACGGATAAACGCTTGGTACGTGCGGAGGGGTCCAAGGATTGCAACATACAGCAATGAACTTGCTGCGTAGAACAAGCCAGCAGAGCTACAGCATGAAGAAGAGCCTCATAGAAGGCATCGACCCAGGGGGTGGGGTGGGAACGCAAGAATCTGGTGCCGACTTGCCAGATCCAAAGGGGATCAAGGATACCTGCCACGCATCGGAGCCGGCAGAGGACTTTCAAGGAAGAAGAAGAAGACGAAGAAGAAGGCGAGGCGAGGCGAGGCGAGCAGGGGGGGGATGGGATGGGAGGATGGGGACGGTGGAACAATAATTCCGTCCGCTACAGTAGCGCAGAAACAGAGCAGTAGCAGCAGTGATAGTAGGACCAGCAGAGTAGAGCAGCACAAGCAACACCAGCACCAGACCAGCAGAGCAGAGCAGAGATCAGAGCAGCCTAGTCTAGCCTAGTCTAGTCCAGATCAGTCCTGTCCTGTAAGAGAGTGAGTGAGAGAGAGAGAAGGAGAGAGAGAGACCCGAGATCCACAACTCTCCCAGCCCGGCTCCACCCGGCTCCACCCAGCCCGCACCCGTCCGGAACTCAATCATTTATGGACAGACGAATGGAGACGCCAGCTCATCGTGGAGAATCCCCACATCCAGTGCCAGAAACGCGTTCATCCTCCTTCGCGACAGGATGAACAGAAACCGTTGGATACCTACACCACTTGTGAAAATATCTGTGCCCATAACCGCGGGGGGGTATTTTCTTTTCTATGTTTACTTTTCTTCTCCTCTGCCTTTCCTCCCTCCCTCCCTTCCTTCACTCCAAACATAGGGCCCTGCAGTCAACGCCTTTTATGTTTTGGGCACCTCTATCTACATTATTGATTACGTACATTATCATTGCCCAATGCGGGGTATTGAATGCTGCCTGGAGCTTTTGATACATCCTCCTCATCCTCTGTGCTTGCTGTGTTGCTGAGCCCCTGCGCTCTTGTGCCCGTCCCCTCTCCCTCTCCCTACCACCAAGAAAACAACCCCTACACGGGAAGGAGGGTAGGGGAGGGAAATGATCATGTGATAAATGCTCATTCAGTTCCAAAAAACTGGGTAGGTCCAAATTATATATGTGTACCTACTTACATTGGTAGTTCAAGGGTGAAGAGAGTAGCCCAAGGGTGACAAGGTGATGAGGATAGTCTACATCAACCCAAATAGAGATGCATCATCAAAAAAACAAAACAATATTTATTAAACATATTAATACATGATGTTGAACTAGTTGATTCTTCTGTCACTTAAGTTTTGACAACTTATATTCATAAAGCCTTTCTCTTTGCTATACACCTAGGACTTTTATATTCTAATATTAGATATTAAAAGCAGATTTCTATCTAATAGTTTTCAAGCTCAAGGGGCACAGGGCATATAACAAGCATTAGGTAGAATCTTTTGTCTGAATGCACCTTCATTGCTGTTTAAACTCAACCTTTTATTTATTTATTTATTTACAAGAATAACTTTAGAGATAGTTTTGAAAAAGTATTGTTCTTCTTCTTGCTTCTCTCTTCCACCTTCCTGATATAATCTCCATAAAGTTAAATAGAAGATATTCAACCAATTCCATAGCTTATTACTAGTGATTGTGTTTATTTCATTTTTTTTCTGTATCTATTTTAGGAGTTGAGTTTATCACAAGTTAATTGTATAAAAAATTAAAAAAATTAAAAAAATACAAAAGTATAACATATAATTGATTCTTTAATAATTAATATGAAATGTGGAATTTTTTTTATTAATTACCAAAGGTTATTAATTTTTATAATTGAGTCTTTTCTCTTCTCTTCTCTTTCATCAAATTTTGTTTTCCTAACTAGATAGAACTATTCTTCTCATCCCAAAGCACACCTACTCTTTCCTTCTCTATCAATGCACAACTTCTCCTGTCTATGTCAATGCACAACATTTTATTTTTTATTTTTATTTTAAAACTAGGTTTCAAGTTGCAGTGCCTCAATTTTCTATAAGAAATTTAACCAACAAGCAAAAATTGCAGTTATATAAGCACAAATAATTTTTATTTCAAAATTTTACAAAAGATGTTAATCAAATGGACAAAACAATGGTTCACCCAATCTAAAGATTTGTCTTCAGAGAACATTCTAAAGAAGGGAAGAAAATATAAGAACATAAAACATGCTAGGCTTGCTAAAAAAATAAATCCATGAAGTTATTTTTTAAATTAAATCAGACATTGTTCTTGCAAACTAAATGATTCAATATTAAGCTTTTTAAATAGCTTCATTAAGTAATTCATTAATATATATATATATATATATATATATAAGTTTATCAACCAATCAAAAATTGAGAAGATATTTGAATTTTCTAATGATTGGCTATCAAAATTTTAAAGTTAATATAAATTTTAAAGAATGAAGTTATATAATAAAAGTAATTATGTTAATAATGTGACCATTTAATTATAGATGCATGTAATACAAGAAAAACTAAGAAAATATGAATCCTTCATTATATACAACATAGACAAAATTAAACAATAGTATTACATGGTACTTAATAAAATCATTACTTAATGTCAAATTGAAGATTTAAAGAAAGATCAAATCAAAACTATAATTTATTTTATTAGCAATGCAAATAATTTTGATCTAAGATATTTATTATAAAAATATATTATAAAACTATAAGCATTCAATCAACAAAGTAGCAACCAATTTAGATTTTACTATGAAAATAACAAAAAATATTTAAATAATTAGACTTATATTTTAAGAGTATTTGCAATAATTAAAAATATTAGAAGTATAGATGGCTAGAAAAAGTTTCTTTTCTGGAATAATATCTGATTCTATAGCAAAAAAAAATTAGAATTGATAAATATCAAGAAAGTAATACTGTTACCAATGACAATGTCAAAAACTTAATTAATAGAAGTTGGTATTATTCTAGCCTTTATCATTGTTATTATCTTTATGATATTTATAAAAATAAAGATTAAGAAGTAGATAATTATAAAATTGACTAATTTGTATAATATTTATTAGTATATTTATTAGTATATTTATTAGATACGTAGAACTAAATAAAAATATATAAAAGTAAGTGAATTCTTAATAACTTATTAGAAAGTTTTTTAAAAACTTTGTAAATATTACACATATTTAAAAGTAATTGGTTGTTAACAACTTGGCTACATTTCATATCTTTAGCTACTTATATTATAAATTGGTTATATAGCTTATATATTAGAAACTTGGCCTACAAATTAGACATGTCTTTTATAAGTTGGACACATGTCATATGGCATATAGAATATTGCTACATAGTTCTTTAATAGATAGTAAATATACAAGCAAAAATGAGGTCTTCATCACTCTTGTTAATATCTTTTCTATATTCTATCTTGATTCAAGACTTCTTACTTATTTTGTATTTTACAATAGTCATTTTAGTTTTAATTTTGTATCTATCTTTTAGTTGTTTATTAGTTTTTTAATAATATAGGAGTGTATTTTTATTTATAATTTTTTTATCATTCATATTTTTGATAGTTTAACAAAAATCATAGTTTATTATATTTTTTCTTTTAAAAATAAGTGGATTATCTCACTTTCAATTATTTCACTTTAAATATTGTATACCACTTCTTTTAAATTTCTTCTTTGCAATAAATAAACTATTTCTTACTATAATTTTTTTTATTTGATATTAGAGGTTTTCATTTATCTTCTTTTAATTTGATTTGTAGATTATTAAAGATGTCTATAATAAAGATGGAAGAAAAAAAAATTAGGGATACTACATTTAATTGAATTGAGAATAGATTTACAAATATTTCAAATCTTTACAAGCTTGTTAATATTCTTAAGGCATAAATTTCATGTATTTGTAATGTCAACTATAGAAGTATTATTTCTATACCTTGTCGAGGACACAAACTGGAAGAAGATACATAAACTCACAGAATCTGTGTCAAAAAGGAAGTCACAAAATAGAAGTAATTATGTATATTCAAGGAAGAACTGGAATGGCTATTACCAAAGACTAAAAAATATATGACTCTTGAAACTAGAATAAAAGCAAGAAAAGAGTTGACAAGAGTGAGAAAGGCGTCTCTTTTGCCTATATATATACTACTTAATTAAGAACTATGTGGCAACATGCTATAAG